ATCAAATTGATAAACATTTGGGATGGATTTGGGGAATTTTGGGTCTTTAAAGGACAATTTGGGGATTTTGGTTAAAGATGGTCAAATTGGTCAAATTGGGTCATGTGGTAGTTGAAAGAAATAAAATTGGGAATAATTGGGATTTATTGGAATTTTTTGAGAATTTTTGAATTTTTTTTTTGGGATTTTTGGTTAAAGAAGTGTTCCAAGAGCAGTTAGGTAATTTGGGGGTGTGTCTGGGGCAAAAGACCTAAGATGAGCATTTCAAGTAGAATTGGATAGATATCCATTCTAAATGAACCATGGATCAATAAAATCCCCATTTTGGGTCCTTATGTATTGGTCTTAGCTAGGGTATTGTGGGGGTATTGTGAGGGTATTGTGAGGGTATGGTGTACCTTAGCTCCAAATCAACACCCAGGGTCAATCCTAAGGTCAAGTAGCCCTATAGGAACTCTCCTTGAGTTCCCTCATAATGATCTTACTTATTAAGTGCTAGAGGTTAGGACCAATATGTGGAACTTCAAGTTGAGTAAAGAGAAGAGTTTTGAGTTTCTAATGGTAAGGATACATTTTCTAGTTTTCTAAGACTAGTCAGTAGGAAAGTCCTATGGCTAGACCTAGGCTACTAAATAAGTTTCTAGACCTCAACCAAAAGTGAGGTCAACATAACATTTATCATCTTTTCTTTTAGTTAAATACTCCATAGGTTTTAGAATATTAAGAGTAACTTCCTGGTCATTAACTTTCATTGTCAATTCTCCTTTTTGCCTATGACTGCTCGTTTGGTGGCATTGAATGGTCTCCCCAAAATAATAGGTATTTATTTTATCTTCCTCTAAATGGTCTCCCCAAAATAATAGGTGTTTCTTTTATCTTTCTCTATATCTAAAACAATGAAATTCACAGGAATGATAAATTTATCCACATTTACAAGCACATCTTCTATAACTTTCTTAGGATAAGTGATAGATTGATCAGCTAACTACAAGATTCCAATAGTGGGAGAAATCTCTCCTAAGCCTAACATTCTGAAAATATATAATGACATGAGGTTAATGCTAGCTCCTAAATCACATAAAGTTTTTCCTCAAAATCTATCTCCAATCACACAAGGTATAATAAAACTACCATGATCTTTGAGTTTTTGAGGAAGCTTTTTTTGAATTATTGCAGTTCTTCACCTAGTGCAACAGTTTCATAATATTCAAACTTCCTCTTTTTGTTTAAAATTTCTTCCATAAATTTAGCATTATTTGGTATATGTTCCAAAGCTTAAGAAAAGAAATACTAGTGATAAGCTTTTTAAATATCTCAAAAACTTTGAAAATTGTTGATCCAACTTTTGTTTTCTAAGTCTGATGAAATGAAGGTGGTGGTCTTTCTAATTTGATTTTAGTTGGAGAGATTGGTTTTTCTACATTCTTAGGATCAATTTCTTCTTGTTTTTCAGTTTTTTTATTCTCCTTCTCAACTTCAATCTTTTTTTGAATTCCAACATTTAATTTCCTTCCACTCCTAAGTTAGACTTTAACTTGCTCTTGTTCTTTGTTCTTATCTTTAAGATTTATTTCAACGTTCCAATGAATTATTTTCTGAGGGCTATTGATAATTGCGATAGCAATTTGTCCCAGTTGATTTTCAATATTTCATGTTGCAGCATTTTGACTTTGTAATTGATTCCCAATCTATAACACCACTTCTTCTTTAAACAACTTATTATCTTTAATTGGTTGGTTATTGACATGCCTAAAATATGTTACCTTTATTTGCACATTTATTGTCTATTTTTAATGATATTGCGTTTTAATGAAAGTTATTTTTGATGTTTTTGGTTGTAGGTACACTAAATGGAGCAACTGAAGCAAATGGTTAGAGCAATTTGGAGTCAAAGGAGTAAAAAGGCCAAAATTAACCTGATGCTTAGGCGCAAAAAAACAGAGAGACTGGCGCCTGAGTGCCATATTTGGGAAAAAATTTGCGTACGTCAAGGGGTACGCAGAGATGTGTACATAATAGGGTACACAGGGTTTATATGGGGATTACAAGGGGGTTATAACCCGTGTAACCTCCCGTGTAACCCCGCTGTATCCTTGTAATTTCAATGGATAAAATAAAAGCGCGAGTTACACGAAAGTTACAAGGAAGTTATAACACGCTTGTAACTCCCATATAACGCTCGTGTACCCTATTATGTACACATCTTTGCGTACCCCTTGACGTACGCAAATTTTTTCCCATAATTTGACGCCTAGGTGTCAGAAATGGTTTTATAGATGGTTCAATGAATGTGGACGAATTTTGAAGGGGCGCTTCAAGTGACTCTTCAACGGGGTTATTATAGGGGGGTATTGGAGTGAAACAACGGAGTTTATTGGAGGATTATTGAGGAGTTATTGAAGTGTTATTAGAGTTAATACCCCAACAACCCTCCAATAACCCTCTCAATAACATCCACGATTTCACTCTAATAACCTCCACGGTTTCACGGTTTCGCTCCAATAAACTCTGTGGTCCACTTTAATATTTTTTTAAGTGAGTTTGATATAATACACATGACAATATATTATTGGAGTCACATCGTAGAGCTGCATATGACTTTTATAATATTCTCCTCGCTTCTCTTTCTATGAGGTCATAACATGTAGAGGGGGCTATTGCCTAGGTTGACTCTTAGGCTTCTTAGAGGTTGACTTTTTTTAAAGAAACTAAATATTTTTTTTTATTTAATTTATATAAATGAGGCTCTAGTTACCCGTAACCTCCTCGTTTTTATTCAGCCCTTCAAGAATCCCTTCCTGCGAAGTTCTGATTCATGGAGGACGTGAAGGGCAAGATGAAGGGCCTAATTAAGAAGGTTAACAATCCCTTCTCCTCTTCCTCCTCCGCTTTCAAAGGCCAAGGCCGTGTCCTCGGATCTGCTACCTCCTCTTCTTCGTCTTCCTCCTCTCCTTCCAATTCCACCTGTTCCCGTTCAATCCCTCCTCCCCGACCTTCCATTACCGCAAATAGGAGTCCGCCTGGCTTTGATCCCTACGAGCCCCTCGTTGCTTCTGGCAAGAGATCCACATCCGCTGCCACCACTGTTGAATGCCCTATCTGCTCCTCCTCCTTCCCTTCCGAAGAATCTGTCTCCGCCCACTTGGACTCTTGTATCGGTCCTTCCGCCGACGCCGGATCTGATGGCGGTGTCGCCAAATGCGTCAGCGCCTTTTTATCGGGGGAACCGGCTGAAGGATCGGCGGAGACCGCGATTAAGCTGCTGGGAAATGTGTTTCGAGAACCGAGTAACGAGAAGTTTCGGAAGATCAGGATGGGGAATCCGAGGATTAAAGAAGCGATCGGGGAAGTGATTGGTGGGGTAGAGTTACTGGAGTGTGTGGGGTTTAGGATCCGGGAGGAGGATGGGGAGAAATGGGCGACGATGGGAGAACTGACGCCGGAGAGCATTGCGGTGATTGAGGAAGCGATTTTGTTGATGGAGCGATGGACGAGGAAGGATGCTTCGGCAGCTGTAAATGGAACTGTGGAAAGATTGGATGCGGAGAAGGAGAAGAAACCAAAGACAATCGACCGTAAGGTAGTTTGCTTTCTCTGTGTTCTTTTGTTTAAAGGATTTAGTATTAAACCTATCTTCTCGTGATTTTGGTATTTTGTTCCGTGTCAGTGATTTATGGTGGTTGCGCTGCTTTTGTGTGAAAGGGATACATTCTTATTAACTCATGTTCTTGCCGTTCTTATATTAGATTTCATCATTTTTCCTTCTTTCTTCTGTTGCTTACAAACTGGATTATAATTTCATGTAGCTTGGTTGGCAATACAAGGTTTGTCTGATGCTTGCTTCGTGCTTGTTTGCAATGAAATTCCCATGAATAGAATGCATTAGCTTTCATATTTCACTATCAAAATTTCATAATATTCTTTTGATAGTGTTGTTAAGCTTTAGCTCTTTTCACTTATTTTGCCTTGATTGTTGTGAAGTAAATCATTACTCAATTACTAGAGTACTGGAGTTTAGCGTCTCGCTATCATTTATTGATGATGGTGCTATGTAAAGACACTGCAATCACTAGAAATATTCTTTGATTTTAAAAAATCTACCAATTATTTCCCAGCCTGCTTGTGTTTGAATCCCGAGGGGACCCCAAGTTACAGATATTGGCCTGTTTGGATTACAGTTTATATAGCTCCTAGATTTTCTAAACTCTCCACGTGTTAGTCATCTTAATTTAATCATATTTTTTAGTGATTTCCCATTCTAAAACTTGCCCCTGGGCTTTATAAATTACCCAACGGTAAAATTAGCTTTTCCTTACTTTGATTTCCTGGCCTGATCTAATGTTTTTGATTCCTTGTAGCTGTTCGGATTAATTCGTTCTTTCAGTCACTCTTTAAGTTTCCTTGTAGCTGATTTTTTCCCAAGCTGGTTGATGAGTACATGGGCATGCTTCCTTTGGGTGGAGAGCCACCATGGTAGCTGAAACTTGGCGGCGGAGATGAGGGTCTCCTAAACGATGAGCATCATGCAAAGGAGGTCGTCCTGCATCATGTATGCTGAAATGTTTTTTTTTTCTTTTGGATCTTGGGTTCTATAGGCTCACCGTTGAGGATGAGGTCGTTGTTGATGGGGCTTAGCTTGGTGATGCAAACAAAAAGGGTGATAAGGTTTAGATCGATAAAAAAAGCGAACTATTTTGAGCTTATAATAACGTCTAGAAATTGTTTTAAGTTTTTTGTTTAAGACTAGGAAATTTATTTTAAAAATAAAAACAAAAATGAGTTAGTATATTTTCTTACTATTGTAAGAACTATAAAAAATGATGCCAAACGGTCCTTAATGAACTGATCAACAAATACAACAACACAACAACAACAAAGCCTTAATCCCACTACGTGGGGTCGGCTACATGAATCCTTTTTCTCCATTGCGTCCTATTTAGTGTCATATTTTCATGTTTAAAATTTGTGACATTTAGAAAATTTTTACTTGAATAACCTCTCTCTTTCCAGTTTCAATTTTGTGAGTATAAGTTGGATATTTGATTCTTCAAGTGTTGTACAAGTGCAACTAATTATGGGAAATCCACCTCTCTATACTGTACAACCTAGTTTTTTTATTGATAAATTTACATGCATACCTCACAATTCTTATATATTTACTTATTTAACACTTAAAAATTTGATATTTATATCTATAACACTTTGTTGTCATAAATCTTTGTATGAAAATGTGTATTTTACTTTTGAAAGGTTAAGCACAATGGTATTTGTTATGTGTTATTAAAAATTTGAGTGTTATGTATGCGATTTATTGCTTAAAGTCATGCAGTATAGGGCCTGTCTCAATGTTTTTTTGAAAGATTCTTAACGAGGCGTACTGCGTGAGGCTATCTACTGTAATGTGAGGCCCACTTCAAGGTGTGTCTTGTCTTAATTTTCTTCAAATGTATGCAATTGGATATAGGATTTTCTTAAAAAAACAATAAATAAAACAATCCTAATACATTCTTTATTTACATATAATACATTATTAAAGATATAATTGAAGTTATTACTATTAATATAGTCATTATTTTAAAATTTAACAAATATTCTCATCAATTAGTATTGATTAAATAAGAAGATGATTGAGATTTAGAATAAAAAAAAATAGAAAACATAGATATAATTGAGCATGAGATGAAGGGAGTAAATAAATAATTATGCTGATGATTGTAATGAGGGCTCATTAAGTGTCTGTTTGGGGCAACTGCGGCTTATTAAAAAGTAGCTGTGAAGATGTTGAAAAATAATCTGATGTTAAAAAAGGTGCAGTGGCTTTTACGATTTTTTTTTTAAAAGTCGACCATAACTAAAAAGTTGTCACCGCAATTAGCCAAGACTGGTGGGAAAACACATATTTTTTATGATAGATTTTTGAAAAAGCCGCCTAAACGCAGTTTAGCCAAACAGACAAAACTGAATGATGGGGATTTGTGAATTTAGAAATTTCAACATTAGTGATTTGTTATGCTTTTACTTTGATAGATAACAATATATGTGTGAAAGAAACAAATTTTATCCAGTTTATTTTGAATTTGATATTATTATGTTTTAATTTGATTTTTGTATAATTTTCTTATTTTATGATTTATTGTTTAAATGTTAACATTTATTTTTAGCAATTTATTATTCTTATCATACGAAGATGTTAATATGCTGCATTTTAATTAATTGATATGTTAGTATATTAATATGTTACTTCTTACTACATACTTTGAATTTTGATACCGAAATTAGTAGGAAGAATAGTGAAACACAAAATCAAACTTTTATTAATGTAGAAATAGGATTACGACAATACTCAAATAGAAGGAAATACACTAATAGGTGAATCCTCCGGTTAGGGAGGTAGGAAGATGTTCGAAGGCGGTGGTGGCATTGACCGGGTGGTAGGGCAAACTGGGAGATGTCGGGGGG